GTTCCGTTGGGACGAGGGCTGTCGGCGGCGAGGAACAGCAGAACCGTCCCGAGGATGAAGGGAGGAAGCCTCGAGCGGGAGCGTTGCTCTTGCTAGGAGCGGCGCCAATTCAAAAGAGAGCAAGGCGCCAGTCCACAGTAAAACGGGAGGAGGTCTCGGGCGGGAGCGCTGGTCTTGTCGGGACGGCGGCTTTCGGCGGCGAGGAGGAGCACCGCCTTGAGTAACAAAGGGAGGAAGTCTCGAGCGGGAGCGTTGTTGTTGCTGGGGGCGGCGCCGATGAGAGAAAGAGGAGCGCGCCAGTCCAAGGTAAAACGGGAGGAAGTCTCGAGCGGCAGCGCTGGTGTTGTTGGGACGGCGGCTTTCGGCGGCGAGGAGGAGCACTGGCCGTAAGTAAAAAAAAGAAGACTCGAGTGGGAGCGTTGTTGTTGTTGGGGGGCCTGTTTTGGCGCCCCCCCAAGCCGCTCGAGCGCGCGCCTCATTCCCAATGAAAATGTAGCGGGCGCCGAGGCGAGAGCGCCAAAGCGCCTGGGGGGGTCCAGCAATAATAATGGCTTAGTGATCAACATGCACCACCAACGACAACAGTCCGCACCGCGGCGGCACCCCACTTCAGCGACGCACCCAGGGACAGTGAAGATCGTTCGCCCCCCCCACCCAGACAATCGAAAGTCTCCAAATCAAAACCCATTCAAAGAGCAGTCTCCCGTCCGTGGAGGTGTCTTATACTACAAGCTCCGAAGTATTTCTCCGAACGCCACGCCAGAGCTTCAACAACATCCGAAAGATAACTGAAGGCTTATGCGCCCAACCCCTCCCGCATCAGCGGACGCGCGGTCCAAGCCCCCCCCATAAAACTCTAAAAGGGCTTATGCCTGCAATGGATTTTCTGGGGTGGTCCACATTCCGACTCGAAGTTTTGGAATGAGAGTGGATGGGGCCTGCTTTGGGCGATTATTATTTGTACGACGTCGTCATAATCTGCCTGGTTTGGCCCCTGGTTTGGCCGCGTGCCCCGCCTGAGACACCCTCGAAATCTGCCTGGTTTGGCCCCTGGTTTGGCCAGGTTTGGGCCCGAAGTCGCCTGAAACGTCCTCAAACGTTGCCTGGTTTGGGGCATGGTTTCGGCCCCGTTCCGCTTGAGACGCCCTCGCAATGTACGGTGGTGATTCGGGCTGGCATGTTGCACAAGAGAACATTTCGCAAGACACATTGGGATGTGCCACGTGTTCTTTGAGATTGACTGGGTAATGAACACAGGTCGCGATGGGTGTACAAAACTTGAACACTGGCACTGTGTGTACTGAACCTCCCTTGTGGCTCACGTGGCTCACATATAGCGCATCTGCGCTACACTATGACGGGCGAAATTTGCCAGGAACTTCCCAACACGCTGTGAGTCCGCATGGGCGCGTGTAGCGGCTTTAGGAAAAAACCGGTCCGAACCTGTAGTGCGTATGTACATCGATTCGGAGTCTCGAAGAAGATCTGGCGAGAACATGCGCAGCAAATGTTCAAGTACACACTCGACTCGTTTGTGCAGCAATGGAGGAAGCCTCACATGGGTTCCTTCAGAGAAAGACTCCCCCTCCATCTGGGCAGCTGCTGGTAACGTTTACGACCAATGTGTTCGCCGTGACGACGACCGCATACTGTTGAGGAAAAGCCCTTTCCACCCCCCCAGTGGTTGGAGAAGTAAGAAAGTGCGCAGAGAAAGGGCAATAGCCACATTTGAAACTCATTCGCCATTTAATCATGCAGTTGCTGGGAGCTTCCAACATAAATTTGCGCGACGATGGGGCGACAGCCAGCCTTTCAAAACCACCTGCCCTAGATGCGAGCAGCGGTTGAACGATTCGAACTTCGAGATCGGAAGCGCCGAGGGAAAGATCCAGCGAAACGCTTGGACCGCCAGAACGACATCTCTGGTGGGACGACGACGAAGAATTGCTCATAATTGCCCGCACTCGTGGACAACAGCCAGGTGTTCACTGGCTGGCAACTCTGCTCTGCACAGGCCATGGACCGGCAGGGAGGGGGGGGGATCACTCTCCCTCCATCCCCAGTCGCCCTCGCCCACCGCTGTGTCTCCTCGCTGCCGCTTCCACATTCCTCCTCACAATCCTCCTCTTCCTCCTCCATTCCTTTCCCTTCTGAAAGAACTCCTCCCCGTCGCACCCCTAGGCCAGTCGGAAGGGCGGGCCGTGCTTTTCGCCTGTGACGTCCTGACCATTGATGATGAGGAAACTTAAATATTGGCATCGGTTTAAATCCGCCGGCCCTGCCGGCGTGTGTGAGGGGCTTGTCCGTTCAAGTCGTCATCTCCGTCATTCGCTGGTCGTCGTCTCTGTCGTCCCCTCCCCCGTTTCCCTGGGCTCGTCGAAGCTCCCCCCTTTCCCAGGGACCTCCTCAGCGCGCCAGCCAAAGCAAAGTTGAGCAGCGTCGTAATTGAGTCGAAGGGAAGCCCCTTCCCTTCGATCCCTCCCCCGCCAGGGGGGGGGGAGTCCCGGGGGGGGGGGTCAGATACGACACCCCCCGGAGCCCCAAAAAGCCCCAAGACGGGCCCAGAGTGCCCCAAGATGCCCCAAAGACAATCCAAGAGAACCCCGAATCGCCGAACGATCTGTCCAAGACGCCTTGACGGCCTCCAGACGGTCCGACAGGCCTGCAAAGCGCCCCAAGAGGCCTCCAGGAGCTTTCCCACGAGAGCCCGAAGAGGCAAAATTCATGGATTTCCTATACGTTTTTGGAAGATGTTGGCGTTCTTGTCTCTTCCGCTTCCCGACGCGCCAAGACGGCCCAAGAGGCCCCCAAGATCGCCCCGAGACGGCCCAAGAGGCCCCCAAGAGGGTCCCCTAACGGCCGAAGAGGGCACCAAGACGGCCCAAGGCGCCTTCAAGACGGCCCAAGAGGCCCCCAAGACGGCTCCAGGAGAGTGCCCAGACGGAGGACCCGAGCGGACATTTCGAGCTCTCAGCCCCAAGAGGCCCCCAAGACGCCCCGAAGAAGCCCCAAGAGGCCCCAAGAGGGAGGCTCCCAAGAGGCCTCCAAACTGCCCCAAGACAGCCCAGGAGAGCCCCAACTTGCCCAGGAGGCCTCTAAGAGTGCCTCGAGACGGCGAAAGAGGAGTCCTAAGAAAGCCTCTGGCCTCCTCCTCTTCCTCCTTTTCCTCCTCCCCCCCCCCTCTGCTCCCCCTCCTCGTGCTCTCCTCTGCCTCCTTCTCCTTCTCTTGCTTCTCCTCCACATCCTTCTCCCCCCTCCTCCTCCCTCATCCACCTCCTCCACCCTTCCTCCACCTCCCACTCATCCTCCTCCCCCTGACCCCGCTCGTTTTCATCTTCGTCGTTCTCAAGGTCGGCGGCACCGGCCGTAAGGCCTTCGCAATCTTGGCATCGGTTTCACAGATGGAGGGCGGGTGGTTTTCAAAACGTGGCTCTCGCAGTCGCGCCGCGCGCACTCGTCTTAAGCACTTGAACATTTACAAGAGCTTCACGGATTGAGGGCGGGTCGTTTTCAAAATGTGGCTATCGCCCTAACGCTGCGCACGCTCGCTTTAATTCGCCGGCCCAACGGGCCAGGGCGTGCTAAGATCTCCGGTACCTGGTTAACAGTATTTCTAGTTCGCGCGCGCGGGGCGGCCCCTGGGGGTCCCCGGACGAAAAGTACCCCGGCAAGGTCCCGGCAAGGTCCCGGCAAGGTCGGGCCAGAGATGCCGGAGCCCTGTTACAGGGCCCCAGGACGGGCCAAGAGGTCCCCAAGAAGCCTCCAAGACGGTCCAAGAGGGCCCCGAGACGGCCAAAGATCGCCCGAAGACGCCCAACAGGGCCCCAAGACAGCCCAAGAGGCCTCCAAGACGCCCCAAGGGCCTTCCAAGAGGCCTCCGAAGAGGGCCCCAAGAGGCCAAAATCGTTGATTTTCATTATTTTTTTCGATGTTTTTTGCGTTCTGGTTTTTTCGGCTTCCGGACGCTCCAAGACGGCCCAAGAGGCCCCCAAGACCGCTCCAAGACGGCCCACGAGGCTCCCAAGACGGCCCCGGAACGGCCCAGGAGGGCCCCCAAGACGGCCCAAGTGCCGCCCAAGACGGACCAAGAGGCCCCAAGACGGGCCCAAGAGGGGCTCAAGAGGGGAACCGAGAACTGAAAAATCGAGCCCTCCGCCCCAGAAGGCGCCCAGGAGGCCCCAAAAAGGCCCCAAGAGGCCCCCAAGAGGCCCCCAAGACGCCCCAAGAGGCGCCAAAGAGGCCCAAAAGAGGCCCCAAGAGGCCCCCAAACGGCCCCCAAGAGGCCCCCAAACTCGGCTAGCCCACAACGGTGCGACAATATGGGCCGGCGGAATGAGCGAAGCGATTAAATAAATTATGAAGCTTCACGGACTGAGGGCGGTTCCTTGCCAAAATGTGGCTCTCGCCCCAGCGCCGCGCAAATTCATTTCAAACGTTTGCAAGAGTTTCACGGGCTCCAATGGCCAACGTAACGTGTCAACGTGCCAAATATTGCGTTTCGGCGCGATTCAGGACTGTCAAGACGCAACGGGTACGTTGATTCGCGGTGTCGAAGTCCCAGGAGCGGTGTTCGGGCACGATGCAGGATCGTAAAGACGAAACAATCAAGTTGATTCGCGGCGTTGGAGTCCCGAGAATGATGTTTTGGCACGCTGCAGGATCTCCAAACGGTTGTCTCCCAACAAGACACTTCCCTCAGTGGACGTGAGTCCTTGTATGGGGCCAGCGTATGAAAAAAAGGAGCTTGGAGGGAGGTTATTTTCCAACATCGTTGGTGAGTCTTGGGTTTGCACTGGTCCTCGTCGTCCTCTTCCTCGCTCTCCTCCTCCCCCTCCTCCTGCGCGACCTCGCGGGGGAGAGTGGAAGGGGAAGGGGGGCCAGATGAGAGGGAGGAGATGGGGGGCGGGGTGGGAGGGGAACTGGGGGGGGGGTAGATGAGAGGGAGGAGAAGGGGGCGGGATGGGGGGGGGCTGGAGAAGGGGGGGCGGCGAGGAACGCGCCTCGCTCCCGTCGTACTTGTATTTCACCTCGCGGAAAGCGGGGGAGGGTACGCCTCCTCCACCGGCCTTTGGAAGAGGTCCTCCTCTTCCTCCACCTCCTCCTCCTCCTCCTTTTCCTCCTCGTCGTCTTCGTTGTCGTCATTATCCTATCCCTCCCTCCTCCTTCCTCCCTTCTTTTTTGACGCTGGCCATGCATGGAGCGCTAGATTGTTGCGTCGTGTCTCTCTCCTCGTCGTTCGTTCGTTAGTTCGTGGCCTTAGGGACAGAGTCTGAGTCCCAAACAGCTGGAGCAGAGAGCAGCGATAGATAAAGAAGAATAAGAAAGAGAGGCAGCGTTCGCGGCAGCGGCGCGTCCTCCACGTGCAACTCCATGAATCCCCCCCCCGCCCGTACAAGGCCCAAGCCCTCCGCTATTGGGTGATTTAAATGGCCCTGTCCTCGAGGGCACGGTCGGAGCCACCAACCGCCGTCTGGAAGGTGTAGATCAGGGTCAGCTGCAAGACACTTAGGACACTGCGCTTGGGACCCGAAAATGAGCAAAAACCAAAACGGTGGGGGAGGGGGAGCCAGTCTTAGCTGGCGCTGTCATCGTTATCATAAGTACTTCGAAGTAAAACTACGAGAAAAACCAGGGGCATCCTTCCTTATGGTACTGCGAGTTATAGCGCCGCGCACAAGACAGCATAACAACTCCCCCCCCCCCCCAAGTTACGGCAAGAGTAGGTGCTGCGCACACCCTTGAGGCGCACAAAAAGCTGGGAGCCCACGGACCATTCCCTCTTAAATGGGCCCAAGACCTCAAAGAGGTACTGCGAGTGTTAGGTGCCGCGCACACCATCCGTGGGGGTCTGAGTGGAGAAGAGTGCCGTACGAGCGTAATCCCGCCCGCGCTGAAAAATATAATATGGGTCCAGGGGAACAAAAAACGGGGCAACATCTTCGGGCAGGTCCAAGGGTGGCACACCAGGAACGTTGAAACGACGGGTGGCGTCCTCGAACAAACATTCAGCCATAAAACGACAAAACGCCGAAGGATAAGTTTTGACCCTGGATGTGTGCCACTCCCCATTATCTCCTCTCCCCTCCAGGACACTCGCGTGGACGCGCTGAGTGCATCTCCCCCGATGTGCCAGCTCCCTCAGAACACGGGTCATGGACGGGGCGTGAACAGCCAGGAGCCCCGTGGGTTTCCTGGCAGGCAGTCCAAACATGCACTGATCGACTCGATGGAGGACCACCCCAGGCTGGGCACGCAACCGAGTCAAAATTGGGAGCCGCCAACTCGAGGGGACGTCTTCTCTGTGTTCAGCCTCAGCTGGGTGCTCCATGAGAGCGGGGATGCCACTCTTCCAGGCGCGCGCTAGGAACTCAATCATCGTCCTCAACAAACCGTTTCCGGTGTCCACTTGTGTCCTTCCTCTGGGGGGTAAATACGCCAAGCCCCATGGCTCGGCTACTGCTCGAACTGGTCTGGGGCACGGCCTTCCACCCTGAACTGGGTTGCGGCGAGCAGCACTCCAAGTTTCGCTAGGGGGGGGGCCGAGCACCGCGGCCACACAGCCGCTTTTCAGTAACCCCAACCAAAACGCAATCGCCCTCTGATCTGTCAGATCACCAAACGTGGGGGAGTGAGTAAAATCAACAGACAAGACCACCAGGGGGGATGGGTGCTGCTCAATCAACTTCTCTATCCAGAATTGCACATCCCCCTCTTGCCCCTGTCCCGAGAACAAATGCAGAATGTACCGAAAGGGACGCAAAGGGGGCGGGGTCGAAATAAAATGGATGGGGGGCGGAGGCGGCGGGGCAGCAACTGGGGCCAGGGGCTCCGCCGCCACCAGGTCAGCCTGGGCAATCCTCGGCCCCCTCGGGGGCCCTGCCGCCTTCCTGGGAGGGAGATGTGAAAAATCGTCAGCGTGGCCTCTGGCACGGTTCGTTTGTTGTTCCTTTTTGCGGCTTTCGCGGGCCTCGGTCACCTCGTCCACCGAATATCGGACGCCCGCAGCAATCAAACCCCTCAGGCAGGGCCTCGCACGCGCAAGGTGCTTGTAGAGCCGTCCGTTGGACCGAAAATCCCACCTGCATATGTCACAATCCGTGCCAACAGCCATGTACGCTGGTGCGTTTCGTTGAGGATGGAACTTCCCTCGATGAGACTTCAAATGCCTGGGTGAGACGAAAACTCGGCCGCACTCGTAGCGGAGGTACCTCCGCTCGACCTCCTCCCCTGGCTCCTGCATGCTGGTGTCTTTAACGTGCTGGGCGACTCTCTCCCCCCATGTACTGCTGGCGTCGGCCTGACCACCAGGTTCTGGATTTTGCGATGGTAGCCGTCAGCAGGGGTCGAAAACGGTGGATATCCAAACGTACTGCCGTCACCCAATCGTCTAAGGCACCCTCCCCAGGAACACCGGAGGGGTCAACAAACTTAGAAAGCCAATCGAAACTCTGGGATAGGGCCAAAACCCACCCATCCCGCGAAAGCAAACAAGCATCCAGAAGGTACCTCAAAAAGGGGGGGCCTTAGTCAGAAGTCGAACAAAATAGCGAAGCCTGTTCATGTGCACCACTGCTTCCCAGGGCATGCGGTCCACGAGGGCCAGAACTTTTTCGTGCGAAACCTGAGACTCGCTGGAGTTCGCAGCAGGAAAGCCTAACGCACATCTGTAAATGAACTCGTGAAAAAAATGCGAACCCTTTTTTTTGATTTGCCACCGTGAAGGGTCTCCAGAGGGCACACGCATAAAACGCCTTGCTCGCACCGAAGGCTTCATAATACAAGACCTTGGCTCGAAGAGACAGGGCCTCGCGCGGTGCAAGTGCTTTTTTTTTGTTTGTTTTTGTTTTTTTTTTTCCAAAAAAAAAAAATGGGGCGGCAGGCAGCCTTGACTTGCATGCCCCTGGCTGTGAGCTCGACCCCCTCGTTGCGTGCGTCGGTCAGTACAACGCCTAAGCATTTCTGGGATCGAGCAACCTTCACCTTGACCCCCCAATGGGTGGACGAAATGTGGGGCTCATCCATGTCATGTAAGTCTCGGTGCGCCTTCCGCGCGCCCTTTCCCTGAAAAGACAGCAGTACCTTGGTTTTACTGGAATTCAACTTGAGACCGTGTCTCGCACATACGCTGTATACAATGTCAATGAGTAGGGCCAGTCTGGGAATCAATTCGCTGGCGCATTGCGAGGTGACCGAGGGGGTGAGGTCATCCACAAATGAGACTGAAATCATGGGGTCGGAGTCGGGGTCCCCCTGCGAAAATATCCGGATCCCTGCTCGTGGTTTCCACTCCAGTCCCATGGCGGCCGCTTCCGCCTCTATCTCATGCTGCACGCTACCAAGCACTACATTAAACCGGTCGGTGGCCATGACTGCGCCTGGCCCCGTGCCAGTTCTCGGAACCACGTAACTTTGAGCGCCCTCGACGGCCCAAAAGGAACTTCTCTGCGCGTCTTTCAGCAGAGCCAACAAGTGAGGCCTGTCGATGTGTTCCTCAAAAAGCGGTCCCTGGGCTAGCTGAATGCGAATCCCCTGGACAAGGATGGCGGGCAGCTCCATGGCATTGAAGGTTTCATCAAGTGCCTCATCGTCCTCAGGAATGTCGAACGCTAGCTGCCTAATAGTAAAATAAAATGCCGCCGTGAGGTCAACGAAAAAGGAGCCGACAGAAAGGCGCTGATAGGCAGCCGCGTCCCAGAAACACTTGACAACATGGGCAGCTAGGTCGCGCGACCTTCCAGGAAGTCCTCCACGCTGCTGCTAAGCAGCGACATGTGGAGGTGGTCTAATGAGAGAGCCCTGGGATGACGGTGATGCAGCTTGCTCACGGTGTTAATGATGAGAATACTGCGCTGATTAAGCGCTGGGGCGATCGATCATTTGCCTTTATAGAAGGCCGCAACCCTCCCATCCTTGAACGAGAGGGGCTCTTTGGTGGTCATGCTAATCTTAGTTAGTGAGGGCAGCATCACTTCCGTCATCTCGATGGGCGCCGTCTTCATGAGATCAACCGATGAGCCATCAGGGCCAGCAGCCCTTCCCCCCCCCTGAAATTTTCTCATGAGAGATACCGTCTCATACTTGGTGGCAAAACACCTCGGGCCCCTAGGTACAAAGTCCTGGAGGGTGGGGGGGGTGGGTGGGTGGGTGGGTGGGTGGGTGGGGGGGGGGGGGGGAGATCATTGAATTTAGATGCGACATCCTGCTCATCGGTGATCTTTCCTGTTTCAATCCTGGCAAAATGCTCTTGTAAATTGTCCGCCACTGCCTCTTCCGTAGTGAGGGGGCGACCTGACTCGTCAGTGGAAAAGGGCAGGGTGTGTGGGATACGATGGGGGCGTCCCCCGAACAGAGCAAGATGCGCTACTATGTCCCATTCTCTTTTGGGTCGTCCAAAGTCCCTAGCGTGCTCTATGTGAACTGCCGTGACACCCAAATGGTCACACTTGTCCTTCTCAATCGCTCTAGAAAGCACAATCTCGGTATCAATCAGAAACTGGTGCACGCAAAGGTATATCTCATCGCGCTCTATTCTGCGATGGGTCCAGTCGTCGAAGGCATTAGCTACTTGCATATAGGGCTGACGCCATGCGTAGCCAGCGTCTGCCATCGCATGCCCCAAGATGTCTCCAAGCTTCCAACGGCCACGAAGGTGCTCCAGGGATGAGACACACATGCCCCCCTGAGCCTTGGTGCATTTCTTTAGGGCCCGAAGGACACCACGCCTGGAAGTGATAAGATCAAGAGTGGCCTCGGCAATGTAAGATTGACGGGCTCTCCGAGGGGCAACCCCAAAGGCCTCCACAGCAGCCTTGGCGACACCAGAGTTGATGGTGGCGTGGTGGTCGGACGGAGGGGTCTCCCAAGGCACTTGGGGGGTCTCCTTGAGGCCCTGCTCAAAGGCCGCGACCCTCTTGGGGTCCTTGAAGGCCTCAGGGTCCAAACGCTTGTGTGATGCAGCGCGGCGGGCAAGCGAAGCCTGCCGCTTGAATGACGTGGTAATGGGAAATGTGGTCGGCCAAATGATTCA